GGTGGCCACGGGCGGCCACAGGGCGGCCACCGGAGACCACGGGGCGGCCACCAAAAAAAAACGCGGGTACCCTCCCAATACCTTATAAAGATGTTAGCCAGCACGGGCCCAAAACAGTGCGTCATTGCAACGAGGTGAACGGTATGCGGTGTAAGCTATGCCGTATAAACTATGTAGTTAAAGCTGTAGAAGTAGACGAAGGATGCGGTGCAAACTATGTGGCATAAGCAATGCCATGTAAGCTATGCGGTGTGAGCTGGAGGTGAAAGCTATGGGATCTAGCTATGTGGTGACACCTATGTCGTGTAAGCTCAGAGCACGGGGGGCCCATGAGGCGGCACAGGCGGCAACGTCGCGCACCAGCAACAAACCCACCCAGAGCACGGGGCGCCCACGAGGCGCCCACGAGGCGGCACAGGCGGCAACGTGCCGCAACCTCGGCAAAACCACCCAGCGCACGGGGCGCCCAACAAGCGCCCACGAGGCGGCACGGGCGGCAATGTGCCGCAACCTCGGCAAACCAACCCAGCGCACGGGGCTCTCAGCACGAGGCATCACGGGAAGCAGTGTGCCGCACCCCCCGCAAACCCACCCAGCGCACGGGGCGCTCACTGGTCGCCCACGAGGCGGCAAAGGCGGCCACGTGGCGCAACTTCAGCAAACCCTCTCGGCGCATATGGCGCCCACGATGCGCCCACGAGGCGGCACGGGCGGCAACGCATCACAACCTCGGCAAACCAACCCAGAGCACGGAGCGCCCACCAGGCGCCCACGAAACGGCACGGGCGGCAACGTGCCGCAACCTCAGCAAACCCATCCAACTCAAGGGTTGCCCACGAGGCGCCCACGAGGCGGCACGGGCGACAACGTGGCGAAAACGGTAATACCCAACCTTTGACTTAAGACAACTATATATTGCGTTGTGCAAGCTACGCAGTATAAGCTACGTATGTTGTGTGAGCCACCAGGCGGCCACGGGCGGCGATGCGGCGAAACCTCGATATGCGGTGCAATATACGTGGTGCAGGGTAGAGGCAACCACGGACGGCAACGTGGCGAAACCTCGCCGGACCCACCCGGCACACGAGGCGGCCACGACGCGGCCACTGGCGGCGACATGGCGAACCCTCGCCGCACACACACACACACACACAAAGCGCATGAGGCGGCCACGTTGTGCAAGGGATGTGGCGCAAGCTAGGACCTAGGAGGTGCAAGCCGTATGTGGTGCAGGCACCGTAGTGCAATCTACGCGGTGCACGCTGCGCGACGATGTGGTGCAAGATCTGCGATGCAGGCTACGTTGGGTTGCCACGGGCGGCCACGGGACAGCCACGGGGCGGCCACGGGCGGCCACGGGGCGGCCACGGGGCGGCCTCGGGCGGCCAAGGGGCGGCCACGAGGCGGCCACCAAAAAATGCTCGAGTCACCCACCCAATTCCGTAGCAAAAGAAATGAGAATCCCCAGGTGCAATTCCTCAATACAACAAATAAGAATCCCAAAGTGCAAGCACTGCTTGGGGAAGAACTCCTCCCTGTCGCACTCCCCGGCATGTCGTTAGGGCGGGCCGCGCGTTTGGCCTGAAACGTCGTCACCATTTATGACCCTTAAGCTTGATTCTTGCAGCGCTTTCACGGATGGAGGAGGGGGGCGTTAAAAAATGTAGCTCCCGCCTTAGCGCCGCGCGCGTTCGTCTGGTCACAGGTTCAGGGGTGGAAGGGGGGGGGTCGTTTTCAAAATGTGGCTCCCGCTTTAGCGCCGCGCACAGTCGTTATAAAGCTGTGCAGCAGCTTCACGGATGTAGGGCCGTTTTCCACATTTGCCTCTCGCCCTAGCGCCGCGCGCATTAGCCTCAAAACTATGCAGCAGCTTCACGGATGGAGGTGGGGGGTCGTTTCCAAAAAGCGGCTCTCGCCTTAACGCCGCTCACATTCGACACTAGCAGGATGGAGTACTGCCCTTTTTCAAAATGGCCCTCGCCTGAGATTTCGCTGAGTTTACGGACTCGAATCTTCAAGGCACATATGTAGAGCCACCCCTTTTCAAAATGGGCTTGTCGAATGAGATTCCCTCGAAGTTCATGACCACAAAGATAAACCTGTGCAATGATTAGACGGATGGATGGGGGGCCAATCCTTCTTCGACAATGATGTCGCTAGGCAATTCCTTGAATGTTATTGTCAGTGTTTGCTGGCTCCCTGACTACGCGCCAGAAAAATGGAAGCCAGCTCCCAGTCAAAGTGGTGTCCTCGCAAAAATGACAGGCCCATCTGCTCTAGTCTTTCCAGGGGGACGCTTCTTCAAGTGATATTGAAGACTTGTAGGGGCGTGCGAGGGGACTTGGGACGGGAGGGTGCACTGCAGCATCGATTCTGCATCGTTGGTCTACTCTGTTCCTCCTCCTCCTCCTCCTCCTTTCCTCTCTGTCCAATTTCCCGGGTTTCGCCTTCTTCTCGCTCCTCGTTCTCGTCCTACTCCTCCTGCTTCCGCTCTCCAGGC